CTGAGGCATAGGATAAGAGAGCATCCTCTCCAATGAACTTACTGGCAGGCAAGTTGTACTCAACAACGGCAACACAATAGAATCTTGCACTGTCCCTGAGATGAGCAACCTAATTTAGGTAATGCTGGACAGGTTCTGTGACACATATACTCTGCCCTGTAAAAGAGAGGAAGATCAATGGAGCTACTATTGTGACTCCTCTGATGTGGCCTTGTTCTACTGAACATCACAGATGCCCTCTGGGGTCACCTCCCTGCTCAGTGCTTCTAGAAGATTGAACTGCCATGCCCTCAGTACGCACAAAAGTTTTATTTGTGTGCTTGAATGAACTTGCATACCTAAGGTGGTGAAGGGTAGATGTCCAGGCATACACTAGCAATGCTTTATTCATTTTTACCTTTTTAAGGCATTTCTGTATTGTCCCTCCAATTAGCAAAGATTCAAAACCTATAATAAAACCATAAAAAATACAACAGTAAAAATAAATGTGTATAGTACATTACATTAAAACAAGACATTAAGGAAGCACGTTAATTATTGGATTTTCAAAATCTGGCCTATCCCTCTCCAAACCTTCCTGATTCCAATGTAAAATCCACTTAATATTCCAGACAGTCAGTTCTTGCTTTTAACCAATCATGAACACAAGCATTGGAAATAAAATTGGTATACGTAGAGCTTGAATACAGAAATGGTTGCATGCCCTTTTGCACTTTAAGCTTACATATATTCACCCAGGCACATTGTTGACCATTCCCAAGAATGTGGTAGAGATCCAATAGTCTCTCATAGGAGGAGGAGAAACCTGTCTTCATTTATTAAGAAATGATAACTCGGGCCATAATCTCTCATCATGATAGTTCTAAACATAATAAAAAGAAACAGAAACATAATCAGTTTCTTTCATGTAGTCAGTTCATATCTATGGGTATGTGGGGGAGGCAGCAGGAACACTTCTGACATGCATGCATTTAATTTACTGTCTGTATAGATCCTCACATCAAAAGTGATTCCCCTGGAAAGCAGAATTCCTGAATATATGGAAGAGTTTTGCACCCATAATCATGGAGGCTGTTTCAGGCAGTATAAACCCACATGTGTCAGACACAAAATATGCTTACCACTGTGGTGTCATTCTCCTGTTAGTATCCACTGTATATATGTTTCGAAAATTTAAAATATTTGTTTCATGGATTTTGAGATTTAGTTCATTTTATGAAGGTCCTCTCCATAATCTTTAGAACAGCCTTTCTCAGCTTGTTACTGTTGAATCTGTGTTGGACTACAATTGCCATTATCCCCAGTCTGCTTGAGATGATTGGCTAGGATATATAGAGCTCAAGAGCAATAAATCAATGAATGTGGCAATAAAATTCAATGTAAAAACTTACTGGAATTCCCATTGTAGCTAAATGCTAGCAACATTGGTGAATCCTGCTTCTTAATTCTCACAGTTCGATTGGGGAATAAGTTCCATTCTGGACTATGTGATTTACATCTGAGTAAATATTTGCATAGCACCAAAAAGCTTCAGGTTTTGCAAATAGTACTCAATGCAGGCAGCATGCTACCAAAAGAAAGCCAAGAGATTTTCTTGGGCTCCGTCTATGAGAGGCTAAACCTCACATTTTTATGTGGACTTTCTAAGCCTACCATGGAAAAACAAAGCTGCTATATGGAATTTGAGGCATAAGGCAAAAATGTTTCAGTAGAATGCTTCGCTTATTCTAAAGGAGTATATTTCCTTTTTCCTCCAGACATGGAATGTATCGAAAAATGTGTGAGGAAAAGCATGTGGAGTTTCCTGTTCTAGATGCAGGAATGTATGTAGTGCAGCAAACAATGTGGCCTGTATTTGTAATGGAAAAAAGAGAATTTGGTACAATAATGGGATTGCGATCATCACATTCAGTGAAAGCTAGTTCATGTCCTTTACAGGCACCGTAGCCTTGGCTCAACACTTCCCAGCCTGCAGAACCCTCAAATTCATTCTTTAAGCAAATTATGTTGGTTGGTTTTTGTAAAAGAAGTAGGAGAACATGAGAGCCTCCTTGGTTCAAAGCTATTTCCTGCTCTCACTAGTACTTACTGGTGAGTAAGTGGTGCTGTTTTGTTTCCCTATTCTTGATTTTCATTTCGACAAGGGGAAAACTAGGGACAGGCAGAGAAACTGGAAATGGAAAATCTGCTGAGGTGGCGTGGGGGCAGTGGTTGTCTTTTCCAGAATACTACCCGGTCTGAATGCTGCTTGTTGCAACAACAGCAGCAAAAAAGAATCCAGCTAGAGTTTGTATTAAATGTATAGCAAATTGCCCCCAATTATTTTTTTTAATGAGAAAGAAAGAGGAAGCAATGTAAATGCCATATAATGAAAGAGATAAAGTTCTCCAATAAAGCAATTATTGCAAGAGTGTGAAGGTTTTACTGTATCTTATCCCTGTGGATAATTCTATCTTGGAGGAATCAGGCTAGGAAGAGAAGTAGAAATCTCTACTTCTCTTGTATTGGCATCATCATCTCAATTATTACCCCCATGTTTTGAGTAAAGGCTGCACACTCCTATATAAAGTAATGTGTAGCTTGATCCTTTAAAGTTTGGAATTTTAGTTTTTATCTCCATTTCTTAGCATAAGTAAAAAAAAAAATGTTCTGTCCTCTCTCCCTCCTGCAAAAAAAAATCAGATTGCAATTAGATATATGCCATTAATGAAAGGAGTAGATAATTTTATAATACTAATTAAAACTGTTTTGTTTGGGGGGGGGTTGGCTATCATTTATTTATTTGTTAATCACCTGAAACCAGCTGGATTCTAGGCAGCTTACAGAAATTGTGGGTTAAAAAGAAGATACAAATCAAAAATTTAAAAGGTAAGCAAGTAAGTTGCTTGGTAAACCAACAGATAGCCTGAGCTTCTTTTCCCCTTAACTCAACCTACTTGGCAAAGGATTAGGGTTATAGGAACTATACTCCAAAATATCTATTCCTGATTTAGATTAACAGCCTGCTTGTTTTTGTTGCTGTTTGACATCCAGTTGTTAGATCACAAATCTGTTTACATCAATCTTTCTCTACATATGGCCCTCCAGATATATTGTGCTTCAAATCCCATAACAGTTAATAGCAGGATCATTCAAATTATGGAAATCATCTGGAGGATGCCAGGCATGAGAAGCCTACTTTATAATATCCCTACTTCTTTCATCTCCCCTCTCTGCATTAAGAGCAGCCAGAAATTTTCTGATATGTGCCTTGTAGTGAGTTACTTGAAAGTGTGGGGTCTCTAGTAAAGGCAGGGCTCTGCGCTCGGTCTGTCTGTCTGTCTGTCAGCAGGAGAACTTTCTGAAAATTGAACAGAATGAGATCAAATTGGTGCTGTGCAGGGAAATGGGCCAGCAGAGGAAAGTGTTCCAGGTGGGGAGGGAAACTCCTCAGTGCATCTGAATAGAACAGGCAGTGGGCAATGGCTTCAAATGTTGCTGCTTGTTCCATTACAAACCACCTCCCTCCTGGTTTTCTGCTCACATACCAATGCTGTACGAGGGGAGAACAGACAAACGCACAGAGAGAGGCCACTCTTTGTTGGATGGGTTAAGTCTGGAATAACCAAAAACTACTCCCTTTGAGATTGTCTGTGCTAATTATCCCAATATTGTTCCAGTGGCTCTGGAAAGTTCTGTCCTTTCGATATATAGGTTTTGGATAAATTGGTATATAGATTTTTAGATCAGTGGTATTAAATATTCCCTTTTTTATCTCTTGCTTGTTGTTCATGTCTCTCTCCCTACTTTAGCCTGCTTTCCTTTTTCTTTTTGTCCCCTTTTTGCCAGTTAACTGTTTTTGATGTTTGCTGATAAATAAACACCAAGCTATATTTTTGGCTAGCTGCACTGAGTGGGCTGTGTGCTTACTCTCATATGGATAAAGGGACTGACTGGGAGTGTGCCGGGTGGAAACTAAACTGGAAATTACCTTCAGGAATTTTTTAACACACACATGCACCAGCCCTGAACGCACACACCCTTGATAGTCCCTGATGAGAAAGTGCACAGGTGCAGCATCTTATACAGAAAAAAATGCAGCTGCCTCCTGTGATGGCAACTAATAAAGAAGTTGGGAGGATTTCCAGAGGCCAAGCTCTACATGCTTTCCCTATGTTTATGTTACTTATTGAGGCAAAAGGGTGTTTCTGAGACACTTGGCCTTTCCAATTAGACCTTGCAAGAAATTTGATATTTCAATGTCCCCACATGGTTGGGCATAATGATACATTCCTTGCAATATGTTTGTTCCTGGTCAGAGTTAAGCCCAAGGGGATCTTAATAAACATGGTCTTATGCCATTGCCTGCTCAGGAATGAACAACACAGGCCTCAGCCATATTGGACTGTAATATCCATCCGTTAGGTTATGACTCAAGGCTTCTTCATCAGTTATTCCTTGGCCTTAGAGCTAGAGACGTCATGTGGGATGATTCCACATAGAATCATAGAATGGGACCAGAAGCACTGCAGTCTAGATAAGCTTCCTTTAAATGACTTCTTTTACTATTTAATGCAAGAATTCATAACACCTAATTCCAATTTATCCAGTGAACCTGCCGAGCTCAGCTGTGATTCTGTTCCCTGCTCCGTGGCTTGCCTAATCAAAGAGGGCAGATGTTCAGGTAGCAGTAGCTGGGGGAAATGGCCAAGAATAGGGGCATCAGACTACAGGGATTGGCCTCAGTGAAGCTAGCTTAGTTTCTATCTGGTTCCAACTAGAGATGCAAAATGGAGGAAAAATGCTTCTCTGTGAAGTCAAGCCTTGGAGTGAAGGATGCATTGATGAGAGAATGCAGCACAGTGCTTCCCCTCCCCCTTTCCTCCTCCTCCTTTTCTCCCCAAATGTGAGCTTGCTGCCTATTATTCAACCCTGTTTTGTTAAATTAGAGAACAGAGAGTTTTTTATTCTTTCCCAGAAGTGCCCTTTCAGATTCTGTAACTGTGTGTTCTAATCCCCAGGAAGCGAGAGACCAAGATCAGTCACGATTGGACTCCATGGTACTACTTATTCTGAAACTGGATCAGCTGGACCAGGATATTGAGAACGCTCTCAGTGTAAGCTCTTCGCCTTCCAACACATTGACACACCCACAGAAGCCCATCCCTGTGAGTCTGTTTGCTCAACCTTTTATTCTGGTTGCTTATATTTACTTACCACATTTTTCCTTGTTGCTTCTTTCTCTTTTCTCACTTTCATGGTTCTTTCAGCTTAAGTGTCTACAGTTTCCAAAACATAAATACAAAAGAAGTAGATTTCTTGTTCTGTTTCTTAGATCTAGCTAAGCCTTCCAGAGGCACAGAATTACTCTTTCCATTGCGCTTCACAGGAGTTGTAGTCTAGAGTATCTGGAGGTACCAAGTTAGAGAAGGCAACTCTGGCTTCATTTCTGCCTTTTGTCTTCCTCCATGCTTGGAGAATGATAAAACTCTTACAACAAATCAGGTGGAAGATTCAGCTTCCCAACCTTGCCAATGCTTCTCTGTTTTTAAAGATGGAATTATAGTCAAACCAATCAAATGATCTGATGCAGTTGGTGCTAAATTGGAAAGAGAAGCTATGGAAGTATGGATGATACTTCGTGATTTTATTTGCTGCACATTTCAGTAAGTCTCAGAAACTGCTTAAAAATCCTGCCTTTCTTAAAAAAAGTTACCCAGTGCCTGTCCTGAAATAAGTCCCCCCCAAAGTTTATTTTGCAAAAGGATTACATTTTATGTTATAGAGACAGGACAAATAATTATTTCTGCAATATTGGATTATTTTAAAATGTTGGGTATATAATGTTTGAGGATTGGGTTGGAGATCGTTAGTTGGTATTTAAACTGAATAAATTAGATTGGATTGTACAATTTATGTTATTGTGCAGATTCTGTTCCTTGTTTGTTGGATTATTTGAAGCTTTTACATGATATCTTTCACTACAGAGTCCTCTCAAGAAAGCTTACAGAAATTAACTTTATATGTAAAGCAAGATAATTTAACAACATCTACATATTGATAAGATTAACAATATGTTAAGAAGAAAATAATAATCTAATCATTATTTGTAAACTTTCAATTGAGCAAAGAAATTAGCATATTTGTAATGATTTCCTGTAACATTTTTTCTTACCTCATGCAGCTCGAAACATGCATTTGATTATCATATATTTTAAAAAATGCATTATCACCCATATTTCTAAATGATGTATAGCTCATTCTACTTCATGTGCACCCCATGTACTCCAGTACACAGTTCTGTGTACACATCCTGGTATATTCAGAGGGACTCAATTGCAGTGACTGAATGCTGGCTTGTGATCCTTCCCGTAAATGGTACAGAGGCTTAAAACCCTAAAAAATGGAAGTTATCAGGTGCTTTGTTCACATTTTAAATGGAAAAAACAAGAAAAAATAGGTTTCACCTGCACAAGTTTCCATGTGAGGATGTCACACCAGCTGCCTAAAGATTTCCAGATGTTAGTGAAGGTTTCAAATGCTTCCAAAGACAAAAGGTGAAGATATAATATGATATGCACAGGAACTATCAAGAGAAAACATGCCAGAATTTTGAAACTCCAGACTCCTGAACAAAACTACATTTATTTTTCTTCTTGTAGAACACTGAAGCTTTGATCTTTAAAGTACTTTTCAGTGATATGCAGATAGTATTCTTGGTATAACAAGGAAGGGAAAAGAAATGAGTATGCCTTAATGTATTCCTCAAAGTCAACAGCATATGTGTGCAGCCAATAAAGAATATGACTTTTCTTTTAAAGGATTTGGAGTCACATCCTGGAGGTACAGTAGGCATCATCACTTTGAATAACCAGCAAACAAGCATATCATCACCACCACCTCCTCTACCTCCTACTCCCTATGGTGCAGATAAAGCATTTCCCATTGCAATGGCTGGTTCTGGAGCAAAACCAAAGGCTGGGGTGAGCTAAAAATCTTTAATACGTGTGCGTGTCTATATAAATAAAACCATGGTTCCATCCTATAATTTTGTACATTTTATTTATAGTTTGTTTTTGGAGAAAAAGAAACTTACTAGGATGTTCCATAATGTTAAATTCTGTCATACAGCTAAGACTCTTTTTCCCCCTGATTAAAGCCACAATATGAGAGAGAGAGAGAGAGAGAGGTATATATATTTTAAAAAAATCAAGATACTTGGAAAGTTGGGAGTCAGCACCCATAGAAAATAATGATTAGACATATTAGAGTTTGGTAAATATGAGCAACTATCACAGGCAAATGTTCCATGCTGCTCTTATTATCTTGGAGATGTAGATTATTTATTAATTACAATAGCTGATAAATAGAAATTACTCCAAGAAGTTGCTTATTTTCGCCATATCTTTTCAGAAGACAGCCTGGGCTTTTAACAATTATATCCTTGTCTTCCCCCCTTAACTTGCCTGGATAGCCACTTGTCAACATCTCTGAAATCTTCTCAAGTGCTAGATTCTAATCGTAGTAGGAATTCCGTGGTTTTTTTCAAATGCTTACATATTTTGCCATGGGTAATAAATTAAAATTTGATCTTACTCTGATAAGAACTTGATGCTTTGGAATGACCTTTAATGAAAAATAGTGGCAAAAGCTTTTTTGTATGGGGAGGAGGTGATATGGATTGAAAATGGGTTAATTATTTATGGTATTTTAAAGACTTTTGAAAGGTCACAAAAGGAATATAATTTGTCAAAAGCAACCGAATGGCAACATACACAGCCCACACAATCTGATTATAGGGAAACAAGGAAGATAACTGGTAAAGCTTTTCTGTTGAAATATCTAATTTCTAAATGCATCCAAGACACATGTAGTTAGATCTTTGCCTCTTTATAACATTTTTAATCTGCATTTGATTGGTAGACACAAACCACTTTGATCCAAACAGAAGGCTGTTAGGGTTTATTCAGTATTGCACTGAGTTATGCAAGTAAGTTAAACAACACCATATTCTGTTGTCCTTTTACTTCGATATAAGCCGATGCAACAGTTGATAATTGGCATCTTTCTTGATTTTTTTCTGTATACTTGGAACCTCTAAAATAGTTCCCTTATATGATGACAACTTGATCCTAATAGCTCAAAATTTGATAGGACTCTTGAGTTCACCAGGAGGAGAAAAACTGCCAACTACTTCAACTAAATATATTTGGGAAAGGAACCTGAACATAGAATTGGCCACTAGACGAATATTCTTTGGGTCAAGATTTCAGAGTGGCATTCCACGAAGGGCGCAACCGCCTCACAATACTGAGCCTCTGTATCCTGGCTAGTATTTGGCAGAATAGACAACAAGACCCTAATCCAGTGTTTCTCAACCTTGGCCCTTTTAAGAGCATGGCTGGCTGGGGAATTCTGGGAGTTGAAGTCCACACCTCTTAAAAGGGCCAAGGTTGAGAAACACTGCCTTAAGCCCTTCTTTACCAATGGCATTTATATCAGGCCAAAATAGACGAAGAAGTTAGCCTTCGTTGCATCCCAGGTCTTTAATGCCACTCATAATGTCCATTTACGGCAGTCTGTATTGACTTCGAGTAGCTCTATTGAAACAATTTCTGTTTTTCAAGGTCTTATTAATGTCACCCAAAATTATATCCAACCTACAGTTCTTCCATCTTTGCAACGAACAGTTAGGAGATCTAAACCATAGTTTGATAAAGAATGTACCTTGCTTAAAGCCCAGGGAATGAACACATATAAGAGGGCATGTTTAGCCAATAATCTCTATTCCCATGAAATCTTTTATAAGCACAAAAGGAGATATAAGAAGATATTAAAGGAAAAAAAGAACAAATATGCCTAGAATCCTGGGCAGAGATTCAGCAGGCCATAACAAACAAGAACCATAGGTTATTTTGGCTTCTAATATCAAAAACTAAAGTTAACACAAACCCAGAAAATAATATTAATTCAATCCCCCTTGACACCTGGTACAGGTATTTTCAAAATATATTTTCACCCACTCAGGATTGTATCTCAAACATTCTGGTATTAGAGGACTCTATTCCAGAATTGCTACCAGTAACTCATGCAGAAATACAAAAACTAATTGCATAACATAAAATAATAATAAAGCTCCTGGTGCAGATTTAATTCCTCCAGAATTCTTAAAGATAAATCCATCATGGTGGGCTTCAGTGTTAGCCCCACTCTTCACTGCTATAAATTCCTCCATGGTAATCCCTAAAAACTGACTCAATTCAATTACTCTGCTAAAGAATGCCTTGAAATAAACTACCAAAAAGCAAAAGTTTTGGTCTTTTCCAGAAGACACTCTGAAAGTCCATCAAACTGGACAGTTAATGGCAGACCCACTGAGCAGGTGAAATCATTTAAATACCTAGGTATTTACTTTCAATCTTCTACATGCTGGGGTCATCAAATAAGAGAGTTAGCTATGAAAGCTCAAAAGGTATCTCTAGCAATCAACAAATTTGCTAGTTGGCAGTGGAATAACTTTGTCCCTGCAGCAATTAAATTATTCAAAGTCCTTGGCATAATGCTGTATGGATCTCAGATGTGTATTTACAAAAACTTCTCAATCCTTGAACGAATACAAACAAAATTTTAAAATCAATAGCACATGTTCCTTACTCAACTTCTAATGCCATCACCAGATTAGAGCTAGGCTGCATCTCATTTGATGCCCAGGCAAGATTATGTCAGCTAATATTCTGGGCAAAACAAATCATTTGGGACTGAAGTATACTCTGAAAAAACAAATAGACCAAGATCTGAAACAGTGTGGACTATCAATACCAGCTCTACTTGCTTTGGGCCCTGAAAAAACCTTGGTGGAACTTAAGCAGAGGCTATGGGATTTAGACATTCAGGTAGGCAGAGCCAAACTTCCCATCTCCCTTACAGACGAGTTGCTGTCTCCACCTGGACACTCCCTAAATACGTCTATAAGTTTCTGTATGCCCCACAGAAAAGGGTCATCTCCTAGCCTGTATAGATGCTCTCCCTATTAGGGTGATAGCTGGTCAATATGCCAAACTTCAATATGAAGATCAAATATGTATTTGCTCAAAAATAGAGGTGGAGTCTGTTTCACACATCCTTCTGAAGTGCCCACTGTACTCTCATTGGTGATCAGGGCTAATACACCCCCTCTTGAGCCTCCATTCATGAAAGGAGATTGAGGTATTCTTACTAAACAACCAATACCCAGTAGCAAAATTTTTATCTATAGCCTTAGCTTATAGAAATCTTTTGGTACCTCCAGTGAATTGCTCATTTTATAGGGTTTCTTCCTCGTTATGTGTGTGTATTATTATGTTTCTAAGTATTAATGGTGTGCTGTATTTCAAATGTTGTGACTTGGTCTTGGACCATAAATAAATATTTTTTGGAAAAAGCCTGCTCCTTTATGAAACTAAGCTTTAATTCTGATGTAAATCATTCTTGGAAAACCCACCTTGCTGCTTTTAAGTAAAGGAGTAGTAGAACAATTTCTCAGCTACATTTTGTTCTCATAAAGGAGGCCAGCTAAATGATCCTGCTGTTGAAGTCTTCTTAGCTAAAGCTATTATCCAAATATTGTATGGGGCAAAGATTTAATGAAATACTGCCAGAATTCTTCAGAATAAATTTCTGAGAAAGATATTGACCCTGAGCAGAATGTGGGATTTCCATTTACTGAAGCTTAGGTAGAGCTGTGCTATCTAAAATATTAAGGCAAGTGGAGCAGCGTGGAAAATACTAGTCTTCCTAACTGTATTCATTATGCAAGTGAGAAATGGAGGATGGGCATGTCATTGCCAGTTCCTGTTGCAGAGGTACAATCCCAGTACGGGTGCCTTTCTGCCTATGAAATCTGGATGCAGGCAAAGTTAAGAGGAATCAGATGCAGGCAAAGTTAAGATGTAAGTCAGTGTTGTCCAAACTTGGCCACTTTGAGATGAGTGGACTTCAACTCCCAGAATTCCCCAGCCAGCCATGCCAGCCATGCAGGCTGGGGAATTCTGGGAGTTGAAGTCCACTCATCTTAAAGTGGCCAAGTTTGGACAACACTGATGTAAGTGAATGCATAATTGCAATGATATGCGGGAATGACCTTCGGAGACAGGAGGAAGCACCACAGATTAGACAACAGTCAGACAAGTGGCCACTGAGTCCACAGAAGGAATGTGGGTGTGGCAAACGTCTCAGAAGGGACCCTCCCTAGCTTCTTGAACTGTAAAGGCTGACAGGGGGAGAGATGTACTTTCAGATTTGCAAGATTCTGTTAATACAACCTTACAATAAAGTTAGAGCTAGTGCTTCTGGGTGTGCATCTTCTCTGGACTACCTCGTAAGGCTGATAATAATGTAAATGGGCATAATAATCAGACTTACTATCATGGGTCCAAAGTGAAAATATTCTTGTTGAGGAACAGGTGGGATTTAGAGGGGACCATTCAACTTTAGACCACTGTCTAGTCTTGCACCATTTAGCTAAAAATATACTTCACTGCCCAAAGGTGCCCTTTTTGCAGCTTTTGTGGATTTTAAATCAGCTTTTGATCTGATTCCAAGGGAAAGGCTATGGCAAAAGCTTAAGAAATCCTCAGTGGACAACAGATTGCTCCTTCTTATTCAGACTCTTTATTCTAACACCTCACTGAGAGTCAGATGTTCCCTTTGGGGGCACCTCTCTGGAGCTGTTTCCACCAAAAAAGGGGTAAGGCAAGGATATATTCTGGCCCCCTTACTCTTTAATTTGTACATCAATTCAATAATTCAGGCTCTCTCATCTTCTAATCATCACTCTTCAATGTTAACAGATAATGCAATTCAAGCTTTACTCTATGCAGACGATGTAGTAATTTTGTCTGTCTCCCAGGTGGGAATGAGAAGGGCATTGAGGGCATTGGCTTCCTTTTGCCTAAAAAAACAACTTTTAATAAATTATCAAAATACTAAAGTACTAGTGTTTATA